CGAAGCTTGAACTTGGACGTTAGCAACGCTGGCAATAATTGCCACCCAAGCAGAAGTAGACATATTGCGACTTGGCACCGCCAGTAAGGATCCTTGTGGCCAATGATATGTGAGTAATGGTAGCCGTTATGATGCACTACACCCGGGTTTATATTGCAAATTCACGATGTTCACCATTTCGACACTGCTGAAGCGCTGTTGAAGGTTTTGTTGTATTATATTGTACTGCACTAGTGCAGCATATGTAGCTGTTTTCACTGCAGCAATGCTGAGGGTTGTCTTGCGATCACTGGCCACATCCCGATCGTGTTGATTCGAAACAAGAACATCCTTTTCCGAAGAAAACACAGTCGACAAGGAAGTCAAAGATTTGCTTGCTCCTTGGATCTCTGTGATGCTCATGCGACGGTTCCGGCTGGACCAAGCTGCAGCTACAATTACTGCATATACAGTTGAAGGGTGAAAACCCACGGAAGAGCAATCTCACGGGATGAGCCCAGCGCATCATGCCCGGTGCGCGCCGCAGGCAGAGGCTGGGGTGCATATGTCCTTGGGACGCCCATACAGCCAATTTCGGCCTCTGCGATAATATGGTTGCCTTTGGCCGACCATAGTCACATTGCTGGGAATCGAGTTCGTCGTCGTGAGCAAGTATTCTTTCTGGTAGCAACGCAAGACGTAGCAACTGACAGCTTGAAGAGCAATTGACTTGTTGGCTTTTTTTAATGCTTTCCCACGTATCCTGGAGGGTAATGTAATCAACATGGCTGTACCGAAGAAACGGCTTCCTGTCGGCAAAGACAGCTGGGACTTTTTTTCACGGTAAGCAGAGAGACAGATGGCCAGGGAGTTGCGCATCGCGACAAGAGGTCGCAAGCATTGCCGGTGTGACTTGGTTCTCTGGCTCTTGATGTATTTCTACTTGCTGACGCCGTACTCTGGCCAGGCGGTGCTGGAGTCTTACTGGCTCAAGAGGAAAACGGTCGAGAACGGTGCGCGCTCATTTGTACCCAGCTTCCATGTGACAATTGTATTGCACCACATCACCACAATGGCGGGTCCAAAGGGACTTTGCGAATTGCGTTTGGCTGGTGCCGCCGAGACTGCGTTATCAAACCTGATTGTGTATGTATTGTTTGAATCAGTTGTGTTTTTGTCGCTTGCTTTGGATCAACACGATGTCGGGACGGACCCCAGGAAGTGAACGGAAAGAAATGGGCGACGCCTCATGGCTAACAGCGTTCGAAAAAAAGTAGAAGAAAGGAGTATATGAAGTTCAAGTTGTGGTACGAATATTCTGCGCCGTGTATGCATGACGTTGGGAGATTGCAGCAAAGCCGCTCTCAAAAAGCCGTCGAAGTTGAAGTTCTGCTGAAGGGCAATACATAATTCGACCTTTCCCTGGCTTCCTTACCAACTTGATAGGATGCGCAAATGAGAACTGTGAACACACACTCGGAGCTGCGACTATGTGCGCAAATGTGCAGCAAGACCACAATTGTCAGTCTATCATTCCTCGTGTGTCTCTGTGAGTGCGAAAGTTTTGCTGTCATCACCCACGTATATGCAGGAGCTGCGTTGCGCAGTTGGACAACTCCATGCCAGGGATTGGTGTCTGTCACATTGCGCCATGGCTGTCAATATGCCACATGACGCTGTGATTCCACATCCGAGAATCTGAGAATTTGGTGTTGGAGATTTAGGCAATTAGACGCCCAAACAGTTGGTGAATACCACGTTGTGCGCGCTGGAACGCATGTGTCAACACACAGAATCAATTTCCAGGAGTGGCGGCAGAAAGAAATCGCCAACCAGACGCCTTCACGAGGTCGTTCAAGCCTTGAGGCATCAATCGCGGCATCGCAGGTGACAGCACCCTGCCTGACTATTGCTGTTATTGCTGATGATCGACTCGAAGGGTGCTCGGAGTCATGGCGTCCGTACATCATTCATACCTACGAACCCTTCATCAGCGTCCGCAGCGACTCGCAGCTTCGTTCACAGAGAAGATGCTATGGTTATAGAAAAGAAACGCCAGCCCTGTTGTGCAGATGGGGTCCAGCACTACCCAAAGTACAGGGCTTGGGCATCGGGCTGTTGTTCAAAAGCACTGCGCCGCGATCATCTATTGACGCAATACGTTACCAGCCAGCGACAGTGGTCCACACCCATACAACCGTCTCTTCGGTGTCATGCAATCATCTCAAAGGCATGACAACTCGAAGTGCTGGGGAGCACGCTTATCAAATTGACAGACGCACACCGAGGGCGCCTAGAGGTCGGTGAGAATTCTCGTGGCTAGGCACGTGGATTCGAGTTGGCACATCGCCCGCGCTGGTGGGCAGCCGCCCCCCTTGCAAGGAGTCGGACTGGAACTACAAGTGCATTCATCTCGTGTGATATATTTGCCTTTGGCCGACACCTTTGGCCTCTTCCTCACCCCAGCCCTGCTGTTTTCTTTTCCCAGCACTTGGCCAATGCGTTCCTGATGCTCTGGATCTGTTCATGAACAGCATGCCCTTCTTCGACCACCTTCGATACCAGGTGGGCATCTGGGTCGTCTGTTATGTCTTCTGGTCGTTCGCCTGCCATCTGCACATTGGGGTGCGGGTGTATCCGGTGCGTGCGCAAGCTGGCATGGTTGCAATTGCAATTGATAAACTGATTGATTGGATTGCCGTTGCATGCATTTACTTCAATTTGTACTGTTTTGATGACTGTGTGTCACTTTCGAATTGACTCATTCATTGACTGATAAGTAGATTTACTCCCCATTTGTGCTTCCCGAATTTCAGACGCAATCGCATATTATTGTTAGAAATGGCAAACCATGGCGTCCTTTCTTCAAGAGCTTGTGAGAATACGGTCATGGTTTGGAACAAGTGTGCATTGCGTGCGGCTAGCCTGTCGCGGCCTGGGGCATGGGGCCCCGATGGGCTGGTCGTCAGGGCGATCCTTGGCGGCAGAGTCCATCGCGGACTCAAAGCTCGCCTGCATGCGACGGCGCCAGGCCATCCTGGATCGTCGCCGTGAGGGTGCTTGGTGGTCAGAACACGGGGGCCACGGGGGCTGCAGTGCGCTCTGTGCGCGGGGTTCTGTGGCTCGTCCGTCGGGAGAGGCAAAGGTGGGCCGGGGGGCGCAGCGGCTCTTGGGGATGCAAGCTCGGGTGCCAGATACGACATGCCCCGTCAGCAGCACGCGTCATAGCCGATGTGTTGCTGCAGTGCACTATACACACCGAGGGGCGTGCATCATCAACAATACGGAAAGCCCCCGTCCCCGAACTATTACTGAAGTTTGGGTAGCGCCCCTTCGACTGTTTACCCTAACTAGACATGTTCAATAATCAGTGCTTCACGAAATTGGTTTGGTTGCCCTCACACATGCAGAAACGGTAGAAATATTAGTTAAAAGGTACAACATTCAGGCAAGCAGCCTGTCCGCATTACAGTCCATCCCAGAGTAGCCCATTCTAGGCAGTCCCATACTGCTGTGAACCAAAGGATCATAATTGCTCTCAACAACATTGCCAGCCAGTCATTTCACAAACGTAAAGTCAACTTCCGCTGACTCAATAGTCAAGTGTCGCTCTCTGTCAATCTGTCCTGTCCAAACCATCACCTACACTTCCTACGCTCCACCAGGCAAGAATTTTGGCTCTGTCCTTGCAACTCAGGCAGTGGCCCACCTGCCCACTACTTCGTTATCCTCAAGGTCAACAAGCTGCTTGCACCCGTGCTACAGGCCTGCCCAGCAATTGAATGCATCAGACAACCACCACCACACCATCCAGTCCCCACCGGCCAATGAATTCTCACGATTGGATCTTGCAGCTGCCCGGCACCCTTCAAGCCCCACCCTTCCCGACACTGCAAGCCACATTACACACTGGTAGATGCCCAAGCAATGCCAGCCCAAATGCCAACAGCGCTGGCCCCCTCCTGCCAGCCATCCCCACGAATGCGCAAGACCCCCGGTCGATCCCCATTGCATAGATCACAGAATCCCCGCAACAAACCCCCAGCGTCATCCAATCCTGTTGCATGCCCTGCAAAAAGCACCTGCCCTCCCACCCGGGCTGCCAGCTGTTCCAGCTCCAGCTTCTCCAGCAACCCTTGGGGTAAGTGGGGCGCCTGGCCCCCCGCACCCTGCTGCCCAGCACCCTCCATGAGCCACTCAACGCGATGGACGTTTCCAGACTAGCCCTCAGTTTCAGCAGGTCGCCCATGGCCTGCGGCATAGAGCTGTCGGCCGGCGCTGCCATATGCAGCATCGGCATCTGTGACACGGTGATCAGGGACTGCTCCACAATGCTGCCCACCGCCAAGACTGCACTGGGGGCGCTCTGCCCGCCCAGGCTGAGCATTATGTTCTGGTTCAGAGAGCTCAGTATGGCCACCAGGGCCTGGGGGTCCGATTGCCCTTGGCACTGAACTGGGCTCCGCGCCTGGCTCTGCTCCTGGCCTTGTGACAGCAGGCACTCTGGGATGCTCAGCTGCTGCGACGGGGCTGCTGCACTTGCTGCCGCCTGCTGTGGCATGCTGTTGGCCTGGACGTGCTCATACCCTGTGGCATGCAGACCTGGGCACAGACTTGCTTCAGCACGTCGCGATGTGCCATGCCCTGCAGTCCCACAGGAATCATCGTCATTAGCAGAGGCACACTCTGCACACAGAGGTAGGAGAAAATGCAGCACAGCTTGTGCAGAAGAAAGTGGAACCGCTGGCATGGACCCACTGGGCGACGCACCTAGGCAAAGTGTTCTAACTGTTGAGCTGGATGGAGGGATCCATTGCTGTAATTGTATCTTTGCAAAAGAGAAAGTGCCAGGCGATTCGAAGCGCTGAAGGTTGTTTGTGTGCAAGCAGTCTGTTTTGCAGCAGAACACGCATGGAGTGCAAAGATTTCCATTCTCCGATATTCCAGCAGGGAGCTGCCATTCAGCATGCAGAGAAAAAAACAAAAGTGGAGGCTTGCCCTTACAGATATCCCAGCCTCACCTGTCCAGCAGGATTGGTTAGAAATCCACTTAGATGCTTCACTAGTAGGCTTATGACCTCTCTGCTCTTTGTCACCTCGTCCTCTGCCCTCTCGTCAGAATTCACCTTATCTGCCTGTAGCTTCACCACTTCTTTACGGAGCCCTTCAACCTCACTCGCCAGCTTCCTGCCATCAAAACCAAGAAGTGAGCCTCCCTGTTCTTCTTCATGTTCTTCGATCAAGAAACAAGAAGCTGGCATCAACATCAGCCGACTGTGACCGACAAGAAGACCTTTTCGTTGCCAGAAACCATTCCACGCTGTGGAAGATGGCACAAAGCCCTTCTCAGCAACAATAGGTACATTTAGACTGAGATGTTTTGCTGTCCATGCTGCTGCTTGTTGCAATCCACAATGAGGAGCAGCATGGACACCAAAAATATCTCGGTCTAAATGTAAATATTGTTGCCATCGGTGGCCTCTTGATTGAAATCATAAAGCAAATAACAAAAGCTACATGTCTGCTGCAGATACACATACCTCAAACGTCTGCGATCGTCATCCGCCTCTCTTCTGCATGGCCGAGAGTTCTCCGCCTCCCTCTTCACATCGCATAACTCCTCCCTGAATTGCCGGCAGTCGTATCCCAAGTCTTTCACCTCGGCCCTCAGCCGCTTGAACTCAGTCACTGTCACCTGCCCAGTTGTTGCACAAATCCCTGAAAACTCCTGACGGCAGTGGACAAGCACTCTCACCCCAAATTGTTGCTTGAACTCCATACAATCGCGTGAAGCAAAATCGTGGTGCAAACAGGCAATTCAGTGCATCCCCTTCTTTCTTTCCCTTATTCCAAAACGCTACATTAGTGTTTGTAACGGGCTGTGACGCATCCCTTAGCACATGTAAGCATAAAGGGCCAGCAGCAACACATGGCATTCTGCCCACCTGTGAACATGTACTGGTCGGTGGTTCCGCAACGATTGCAGTCCAGACTGCCGGCGTTGTCGGATAGGCAACGTCTGTGCAGCTTGTCAGACACTCTGTGTGTGACTGAAGACAGGTCAACCACCTTTGTGTGTCAGGTGTCCTTTGACAAAATCTGGAGGCCATTTGACAGTTCTGCCCGCAGCTGCACATGGGTAGCAGGTTTCAATATTCCAGAGTCTAAAGAGGCAGTACAGGGGTGAAGTTAAAGCAAGCAATGGACACCACAATGACAAAGAGACGGTAGCAGCCTTACAGTCACATCCACCCCACCATCAAATGTTATGTCACAGTGGGAAATAAGAATGGAGAAAACAATCAACTATGGTGGCAATGATGTGGAGGCATCTCGATGATCAATGCAGCAAGTTGGATAAGACCCATGCAACGTCAAGAGAAACTGCTTTATGCCAACATGAGTATTATCTGCCATCTGTGTCCCAGCTGTGCAAGGTCCAATAATGGGCAATTGGATCAACCATGTTAAGATCTACTGCCCAGAAGAGTGTTGTCCTTGGCAGCTTCCCAGCCCGGCAAGTGTTGCTTCCTGCACTCTCTGTCCTGCCTGTGCAGCCTGTGTGTACTGTCTAGCAGACCATGCGCAGACTGGCTCAAGGCCTCATGAAATGCTCGACTCTGACCTGTTGTGGTAACATGCCATCGGCGGCGAGCCTTGTGTGAGGGATGCGCCTTCTGTTGAGGGCGCATCAAGCTGCGTTTGTGACAGTGGTGAAAGATGGGTGCTTCCCAGCGTCTTGGCCTCACCTTAAAGATGTTCCGGGTGTGACCAGATCTGACTGTTTCAGCATCCTGCAGGCCAGCCAGCACCTGCAACACAGAGTCGATAATGTCACAGGCCCGCTCTCAATCAGGCAGTTGAGCAATATGAACATGGATTTAAGCACAGTAACCAATGACAATGACAGCAGCACTGGCAACTATTACAATGGAACTGCAACTGCAACATAAGAACAGCAGCCAAAATCAGCTGCTAATGCACCACCAACGACTTGTCAATGTGGCAACCGTAATATATTTATCTGCTTGCCTTAACAACTAAGACTAAAACTATGCCACGATCCCCAGGATGAAACCATAACAACGGAGTGCATTTACAAAACAAATGATGGCACATACACTAAATGACAAGCAGTGAACAATAACAGATACATGATAAATGACATACAAAATACAAGCCGTCAGTGCACTGTTACCTGAAAGCAGCAGGCAATAGGGGTGGCACAGCAGTCCGGGTTCAGGGTGCACAGACAGCAGTGCCTACTTTCTTTGCTCCAAGATACTGCTAAAGTGCCACAGAATGGTACCTTGGTACTCTGGTACTGTGCTTCAGTACTTGGCAACACAGTATTCACAGGACGCACAAGGGTGAATTCTTGCACACCTCTGTGCTTTCCAGATGAGGAGCCATCTGGAATCTGGCACTGACACTGCAATCTGTTGCATGCTGACAACACTGTTGCTTCATTTCGGGGGACAGGATTTGCCAACTTTGACACCAGAAAATCGCTCCATTCATGTAGTACAAATTGCTGAATATGCATCTCATGCACGATGTGCAGCAGTACTCGCACAAGGCATGCGCGACGATGTACTGAGGACCTACACTGCAATACAGAACTGCCCAACGATCCCTAGGATTCACCACATCTGTATGGTGACTACTCAGGAGGCTGCCAAACTGGGCCCATGGCTGCAGCATGAAAAGCTTTGAGCACTGCCAGGAGGCGACAGCTGTGTCGTTCACCATCTGTGAAGCCATCGACTTGTTCAATTTTGGCGCATGCGATCAAAACGTGAAATTGGAAAGAAAAAACATGTAGTAGCGACAACAATGGAAATAACAATTTACTAAAAAGCTGACCTGCAGGAAGGCAGCTGTCACACCGGGGCATGCAGCCGTTTCTGATGGCAGATGCGCTTTGCTGTCACGCACTGTCTTAGGGAAGTTCCGCCATCGCAAGTATGCCTTGAATCTGCCCCCACACAACACAACCGATCCTCAACAATCTGCCACGTGCGATTCGACTGCACCTTGGATTTGTTAAGTCTCCACAGGTAATACTGAGCATCATTGGACTCTGAAAGCCACTTTTTCAGCCAAACTGCCACATTGCAGTTGTCTGACAACTATCTGTGGCATCGTAACCCACATGCTGACGATTTGGGGCTGGGGCTGGCATCAAGCAATGGCCAGGCCAAGGACCTGCACTGAATGTTGCTGGACATGCTCTATGTGTGCTGACTCCAACGTTAGGCAACATACTCAACACACCAGGAGATGCAAGCCTTGCCTTTGGCTGGCTATTTCCTGTGGGGGCACATGTGCATCACGGGATCGCACATGTTCCATAAGCATTGGCAGTCATCCCCAATGTTCAGCTTCTCAAGAAAACACAATCCTGCCAATCATTTCCACTTCACAGTGGTACTGTGTTGCTTAAGGTGAGTCTCCGGGCCCATGGACAAAACATGACGGCTCACAGTGACCACACGCCACCATGCAACTTCTACTGGGTGCCCCCATGACTGTGCTGGACCGCTTGACAAATGTCGGGGTGCTTTTTTGCACACTGCCCTCAATGCACCGCAACACACTTTCCAGGCTGTCAAATTCCTCTGCAGGAGCAACAACACAACCCCAACCCACACCTCAGTGCCGCTCAACATCTGTTCACACAGTGACCATGACCATGATGTTCCAGCATCGTCTGCGCACCTGGAACTTACAAAAGCAGGTTGTTTGTGGGCCACGTCCTGAGCACACATTTCTCCTTGTGTTGCAGTGTCTGCCTACTCGTCCTCATGTGTTTGCGTTGGAAGCCCCAACCCGAGCGCCTGTCTATCGGCTGTGGGGTGCCCACCACGCAGCGAGCCCTCTCCGCAACGTGCTGCTGGTGTTGCTGGCTGCCACCTCGCGGGTGTGGTGAGACATGCTGCAGCAAGGGTAAAGGCACACACAGCCAGAATTCAGGCTTAGTTTCAACAGCAAAGGTTTATGTTCAGGCTAGGAGTGTTGCCACTGCTGACTGAGTCATCTCGTCTGCGCTCAAGTGTTCGACATAAGCACACAAGTTGCATCAGTATTGTGGTATTGGTGGTGCACAGCCAGCCCACATTCAACTTAGAACAGATTTGCAAGAGTTGCCCTGGAAATCATTGCTCTTCCTGCAATGGACTCATGCAAACAACACAACACTGGTGAAGCACTCTTTGCTGCACTTGCACACAAACTTATGCCCGCTGGCATGCAAGTGCGATACAGTGTACCTGCACGTCCCAGTTCCATTACCAGGGCATTTTCCACGGAACAGAGCTTATTCTGCAATAAACTGTGCAGCAGAAACTGAGAAAGCCCTGATCCCTAAACATGCCTCAAGGTGCTTGCTGGCTATTCGACCACCCTCTGCACGTATTGCAGACTGGTGGCGACTGGACAAAAGACCACATACGAGCGAGAGAACACATTTTCCGGGGCGGAAGGGCCTAACTTCGTCCTGTTAAGACAAATTTTAACAAAGGAATGAGCTTTACGGTAATGCCACCTGTCGCCTCGTGCAAAAGCAGGTGGATAGGAACTCAGTTGACTGCATTGACGCCTGGCCAACACAAGCAAATGCTCACCAGCCATTGTCCGCCTCCCCCTTTTCCATCCGACACCGACAATTGCACAGCGCTCTGCCAGTCGAAGGGAGAACGAGTGTCTTGCGCAAACGCGTGTGCCCGGGCTGGTCACTTTGCGAACAGCCCGTTCTGCCGCCACCGTTCGGGATCGCCCAGCCAGCCCCTGGAGCAAGCCGCGCAGAGACCCCAAATCCATCCCTGCGGCCCCACAAACCAAGAAGCGTTGCATCGCAGAAGCCCGCAGCCATCGGGTGGCGGGCCAACCATGGGAGCGGCCGACCAATTAGGCGGCGGATCTCCCAACGCGCGTTGTCGCCACGACGCTTTCCAGGGAGCCACCCCGAGCAAGGCGACACCGGGCGGCATTGCCGCTCCTGGGTAGCGCATGGAGAACACCCTGCGAGTGTGCGCCAGCTTCGATCGTGGCAACTTGAAACATTGAGCGATGCCGCGAGGCTTTTCAGGCAATTGTCAAAGTAGTTTACTCAGAGCAAGTACCACCCAATGCTGGAACTATCAGAACTTGAATTACTGGCGGCCCTGTCAGCGAGAATAATTTCTCCAAACGTGGCCAGCGAATGCCCTTTTTGGGCAGTGTCACTCCTGGCGCAAAACTCAACGCACGTAGAACATTTGCACTCTTTGAATACTGGCAAAGGCATTATAATGGCGTCCTTCGTCGGGAACCGTCATACGAGAGCGACTGCATTTGCGCATGCGCTGGTTTTACACACCGAAATGTTGCCGATGCACCAAGAACGCACTTGCAAGCGTGTGTGTTGTCAACAACAGCAAACGGCGTACCTGGTTGTGTTCTGTCAAGCACGGAAAAGCCGTCAGGCCTCACCAAATGCGCCCCTTCCGAGATCTTACATCAATGAACGTGACCTGAAAAAAGATGCCAGTTGACAGCAGAATACAGGCCTGTCGAACGCAGTTTTGCGTACCCCCATTGGGGAGCGCTGAACACGGCGGTTGGCATGGACACTTGTCGAGCCCTCATCAGAACAATCGCCCAGATGATGTGACTCTAAATCCACAACTTCTGTGCCGAAGCTAAAAGTAGATTTACTCCCCATCTGTGCTTCCCAAATTTCAGACGCAATCGCATATTGTTGTTATAAATGGCAAACCATGGCGTCCTTTCTTCAAGAGCCTGTGAGGCTACGGTCACGGTCTGGAACAAGTGTGCATTGCGTGCAACAATTGTGTCGGATCAACTCCGACTATGCCTCCAACTGAAGTCACGCAGGTTTTATGTGCTGCAAGCGGCCAAACTCAGCTGAAATGCGGCCCCCTGAGTCCCAAATTCGCTTAACATGGACGTTGATGGGCGCACCATGTAGCTTGTTGTCTCTGCGGCAGAAATAACGACGGCTTTTTGCAGCACATGCAACAGACATAGACCGTGGTGTGTGCATCTCGTTCCCTTTGGTTCGTTTGTGGGTATTATCCACATGTTTCATGATCATTTCCAGCTCATCTTATATCGAAAGTAGGACAACCAAGAGCTGCCGAAGAAATCCATGCTGCAAATGAAGCCATCGCACAATAGGTGAACCCCTTGAACAACAATATTTGTGCACAATACCGGACATTTAGAAAAGGACATCAATGCGGAAGCGTGTTGCGCTCCATCGCATTTGGGCGGCCCGTCTAGTGCAAGGCCACCGGCGAATGGCGACACCGAGTACGGGAGGTACTCTGTTGGGTCGCACCACGGAGGCGGCACTTGAGTCTGCAACGACAGGTGCGCCTGAAAAGACCTCGTGCGGAATCGCAGTCTGTGACAGAATCCCTGCATCCCTCATGAGGATCGATCAATCGTTAATTTTGGCGGGCTTGATTGCTCCCACTCCAGGGTGGTGGTCGATTGCCACTCCGCCACCTTTGCGCCCGCTGCTCCAGTTCTCGAAAATGGGTATCATCGTCATCGCCCTTGCTGTCTGCGATCCCGCGGCCAACAACTCCTCCACGGAACTTTCATGCCGGCTGGCCAATCAGAAATGCCGCGCAAGCTTGCTGGGTCCACCAACTGCCACCTTGCTTGACGCTGCGGACACGTATGTTTTCAATTTTCAACATTTTCAATGTTGTCGATGAGCCAAGAACGCACTTTCAAGCATGTGTGTTGTCAAAGTGAGCTAACAGTAGATATAGTTATGTTCTGCCAAGCGCTGAAGAGCCATCAGGCCTCATCAAATGCCCCTCTTCCAAGCTCATACGTCAATGAATGTGATTTGAAGAGAGATGGTAGCTGACAGCAGAAGATAGTCCTTTCGAATGCAGTTTTGTGCAGTCCAATTGGGGAGCGCTGAACACGGCGGTTGGCACGGATAATTGTCGAACCCTCACCAGGACGGTCGCACATATGATGCCACCTTAAATCGACCGCTTCTGAGCTGAAGCTAACATTGGATTTACTCCCCAACTGTGCTTCCCAATTTTTAGATGCAAAGCGCAGATAATTGTTATAAACAGCAAACCATGACGCCCTGTCTTCACAAGCGTGTAAGAATATGGTGACGGTTTTGCGCAAGGTATTGATTGTAACAATTGTGTCGCATCAATTCCATCTATGCTTCCAACTGATATCACGCAAGCTTGTTGCGCTGCAAGCATTCAAACTCAGCTGAAATGCGCCCCCTCAGTCCCAAATTCTCTTAATACGCATGCTTATGTGCGAACCAAGTAGCTTGTTGATTCAGCGGCAGAATTAAAGACGTCTTTACGCAGCACATATAATAGGCATAGACCGTGCTGTGTGCATCTCATGTCCTTAGGTGCGTTTGTGGGTACTCTCCACATGTTTTGTGATCATTTCCAGTTCGGCTTGCGGCGAAAGTAGGGCATTCAGGAGCTGCCGAAAAAAATCCACGCTGCAAATGAAGCAATCGCACAGTGGGTGTCACCCTTGAACAGCGATATTTGTACACAACACCGGACATTTAGAAAAGATCGTCAATGTGAAGCGTGGTGCACACCATCACACTTGAGAAGCCCGTCTAGTACAAGGCCACCGGGGATGGCGATACCGAGTACGGGATGTACTCTGTTGGGTCGCGCCACAAACACGGCCCTTGAGTCTGCAACGACAGGTGAGCCTGACAAGACCTTCCGTGGAATTGCACTCTGTGATAGAATCGATCCTGTACATCGATTCTATGTAGGGATATCCCTGCGTCCCTCAATCGTTAATTTTGGCTGGCTTAATTGCTCCCACTCTAAGGTGGTGCCCCACCCCGCCGCTTTCGCGCCCGCTGCTCCAGTTCTCGAAAATGGGTATCATCGTCATCGCCCTTGCTGTCTGCGATCCCGCGGCCAACAACTCCTCCACGGAACTTTCATGCCG